CTCGGATAGTTTAATTGCACTCGTCCTCTCTCTCTCTCTCTCTCTCTCTCTCTCTCTCTCTCTCTCTCTCTCTCTCTCTCTCTCTGTGGAAATGTTTAAGTATATATATTGTTGTTGCAGGCATCTGAAGGGGGAGGATATCACATCTTTGACCCACAAAGAGCTGATGGCCTTAGAGGATGCACTTGAAAATGGCCTTGCAAGTATCCGGGACAAGAAGGCAAGTCTTGCGCAATAATATAATTTCTTGTGTGAGAGATTCTGCTATATATATAAGGTTCTAACTAGTTATTTTTTGTTGCCTTTTTGTCACAGTCCAAGTTCGTCGACATTCTCAGAGAAAATGTATGATGATTAATTAATACCTTGAGTTTATTTAAATTTGCTTTTTAAATTATGTCACAACAATAGGCATGAAGTAGTAATACATGATAATATATGATATCATGTGCTATTTTTGCCTAACTTTTTGCATTGTTTCTGTGCTGGTCTCAGGAAAGAGCACTGGAAGAGGAGCATAAGCGCCTCACTTATGAGCTGGTAAACTCATCGTTAAAACTGTTCAGGATGTATACACACGCATATTATGTACACAGGCACACATGCCTCAAGCAAAGGGTTTGGTTTATATAACTACACTGTTAATCACATCACAAACAGTTTTAATCAATACAAAATTATTTTTATCACATCGTAGATCACATCTCTAATAAAGTTCACCCACTTTGATCTATAGACATGATGCGCACTACTAGAAAAAAGGACAAAACTCACGGATCACCTAGCCACAGTGCACAAAGAATGTCCGTTCTTGGTTCAATATATATTGAGAAATGTTAACCTGATTCAATTGTTGTTGACCATAGATTAACACATGATCATATATACATATCCATTTAATACATGCATGATACTATATATGCAAGTTTTGGTGTATTTTATTCATTTGATTGTGCAAGATATTGAACACATGTCATACATGCATGGTTCAACTACTTAGGTTTCACCTGCAATATTTGTTTCCCTGTCAACCACATTGATGGAATTTTCAGAATAGGGGCACGGTTTTGATGAGCAAGTTTATTACTAGCATTTGTAGAATTTGCACTTATTTTTATCTTAAATTTGTTTATGCATTGAGGAAATAAAAAAGAACAACAAAAATAATACTTGCAGCAAACTCATCAGTTTCATACATAAATGATATAATCTTTTGTTCAATTTTTGCAGCACAAACAGGAGATGAAAATTGAAGAGAATGTGAGAGAGTTGGAAAATGGGTATCATCAGAGGCTGGGGAACTACAACAACCAGATACCGTTTGCCTTTCGTGTTCAGCCTATTCAGCCAAATCTGCAGGAGAGAATGTAATGCATCTATATTTTCATCTGTCAGGAAATGCTATCAACTTTCCATGGTTTGTAATAGTAGAAGCTTTCGTATAAGCTAAGTAATTTGTGAAACTTGTAATAACTAAGGTGTGTGCACGAACTTGGTTTGTGGAATAATCACTGTTTTGTCTGCTACAGCATTACCTAATTATATATGTTTGCCTATATATATATATACTTCTGTTCATATTGCTCCATAGCGACCCTAGCTAGGTCTAAATCATACTAGCCTACACATGTAATGCACGAAGATGGAAGTTATGGCAAAGGGGAGAAAAAAAGAAAGGATTTGTGGGAGTGAGAAAATGGTACTCCTCCTCCAGCCCTTTTATCAGTTCTCAACTTCTCATGCTAGATGTGACAGAATTGTTTGTGATATGTCCCTTTTTGTTAATATTAATTTGATTACCAAATGAATATACGGTAATAGAAGGCCAAAAAAGAAAGAAGAAAAGATACTAGATAGATAGAAAGGCCCAAGCCCAGGCCCAAACAAAACATGTGCTGTATTTTTTATTTACAAAAATAATAATAATAATAATCATTAGTGGTATAACTCGGTTGGTTGAACTCTTCCACCTCCACCCATGTAGACAGATATTCAAAATCCCTAAGCACCCAATGAATATTTATGTGTAACCCTCCTTCCCAATCGCTTGTACTCCAAAATAAATAAATAAAAAATCAGTAACTTGAAAGTTAGGCTCCAAAACAATCATAATGTACTTTTTTCAAAGTCTCTATAGTGGTCAATAAACAATCCTTGTTTAGTTCGAATGTGCTACCTACTGCGTTCGAGTTCGAATATCCCTTCCTTTAGATTATATCAAAATATAATATTTCTTGTATAACAAAAAAATAAAAAAAAAGTGGAACAAGTTTTCAAAATTGATCTCATTCTTATTTTATAATTCTCTTTTAGTCTAGTATGCCATGTAAAATAGTAAGTTTCTTTTATCAAATAAAAACTCACTACATGTGGAAATGACCAGTACGAACCGAAGTCAACAAACACGTCTGTGCCGTTTTCCAGATTATTCATGCATTTCAAAGGAGCCCTAGCCACGTACTCACTTGCAAGCCCAAATGTCAAAGCGACGTCACCATCGGAATCGGGTACATCGGTAATTTAAGTCTGTCTCAAAGTTCCCTTAACATGAACACAAAGAATATGCTTGTGCGCTTCGCATACTTAATAAATTAATATTAAAAACTTTGTTCTTAACTATTGCACAACCACCGGTAACGTTAATCAATAATAAAGGTAATAAATTTGTTCTGTAAAACCCATATATCACTAACGATTAAGCATTAGCTGGTTAATAAGTTAATACAATGCTAATCACTTATTTTGGCTCACTCTATAATGCAATCACATAATCATAACAATTAACTCCTCTTTCAAGAATTATCTTTACAAAAATTCACCTACATCGGAAATCTTTTAGCAACTTTTTCTTACTGTGAATATTTTTTCTTTGTGTTATCGCAATGATGTGTCCGTCTTTTTATTTTATCATAGTTAAATAACAAAACGATTTTTGTAGTTGATGTGAAATTTTGTACAAGTGATCTCTAAATAAATATATGAACAATGAACAGTTCATATAAGCCCACACAAGTAATTAGTTTTGTATTAACTTACTAACTAGTTATTCTTTTCTCTCTCCATGAGTTCCAAAGAAAAACTTCAGTGGAGAGGAGGATGAAGCGTCAATGCCCCTCTTCGCTCTTATGTTTTCTTTCCCTTTATTTTGGATTAGTGAATAAAGCATTTTCAACCATCCTAAACAACAATATTAATGTATTATAAAATAATGTAAGACATTTGTTTTCAATATTAGTTTCACTTCACAATGACCATCATGTATCCTAGTTGATGTAAGATATTTGCTCTTAATGATCTCCAAAATGCACACAATTGTAATCGTTTTTAAAGATTAAGTATAACACGAACACAAAGATTATTCTTGTGTGCTTCACATTCTTACAAGTGTATATCAATAATTGATGTAAGAGGATTGTTTAACGATCGTAACTAAACAATTGTTTGAAGTTCAACTTCAACCTAAGGAGTGTCGCAAAGTGGCTCATGTTATTGCCCATTTTGCTTTACATGAACAAGGTCCTTATTATTGGTTAAAAGAAGGTTATGTGTGACTAATGAATTGTATTATTGATTATCTTATATTGTAACCAATGCTTCCGTTTAGTGAAATTTACTTATTTTATATAAATAAAAAATGATCATTGTATCAATAATTAATGACATAGATTTATTTTTAACGGTTAATGTATGAACAATAATTAATGTAAAACCATCTACCAATGATTAACAATCGCCCACATATCAATAATTAATTCGTCACGTTGATAATTGTTTTTAAGATTCATCTAACATGTTATAATATGAACAAAAGAATATTCTTGAATACTTCACATACCAAATGCACCAATCATTAGATGTTTGTTTTTAACGGTTATTCAAATCAACCGTTAATGCATGTGAAATTTACACACATTAATAGTTAACAATTTTATTATAAGCAAATATTTCCAATATTGTTTCCATCTAAACAAAGGAAATTACCCTTTAACAGTCACTCAAATGGACTGATTAACAATGCTAATATAAGTGAAAACCTATACAAATCCGTGATGAACTATTGCTGCATAAGCAAATTATTTGCAAGATTCTTTCCCAAGTGA